TGTTTTGATTCTCCTTCCCCATTGTCTAGTACACCACACAAGGTGTTTTGATTCTCCTTCCCCATTGTCAAGTACACCACACAAGATGTTTTGATTCTCCTTCCCCATTGTCTAGTACACCACACAAGGTGTTTTTATTCTCCTTCCCCATTGTCTAGTACACTACACAAGTTGTTTTGATTCTCCTTCCCCATTGTCTAATACACTACACAAGTTGTTTTGATTCTCCTTCCCCATTGTCTAATACACTACACAAGTTGTTTTGATTCTCCTTCCCCATTGTCTAATACACTACACAAGTTGTTTTGATTCTCCTTCCCCATTGTCTAGTACGCCACACAAGGTGTTTTGATTCTCCTTCACCATTGTCTAGTACACCACACAAGTTGTTTTGATTCTTCTTTCCCATAGTTCAGTACACCACACAAGTTGTTTTGATTCTCCTTCCACTTTGTCTAGTACACCACACAAGTTGTTTTGATTCTCCTTCCACTTTGTCTAGTACACCACACAAGTTGTTTTGATTCTTCTTTCCCATAGTTCAGTACACCACACAAGTTGTTTTGATTCTCCTTCCCCATTGTCTAGTAGACCACACAAGTTGGTTTGATTCTTCTTTCCCATAGTTCAGTACACCACACAAGTTGTTTTGATTCTCCTTCCCCTTTGGCTAGGACACCACACAAGTTGTTTTGATTCTCCTTCCCCTTTGCCTAGTACACCACACAAGTTGTTTTGATTCTTCTTTCCCATAGTTCAGTACACCACACAAGTTGTTTTGATTCTCCTTCCCCTTTGGCTAGGACACCACACAAGTTGTTTTGATTCTCCTTCCACTTTGTCTAGTACACCACACAAGTTGTTTTGATTCTCCTTCCCCTTTGGCTAGGACACCACACAAGTTGTTTTGATTCTCCTTCCCCATTGTCTAATACACTACACAAGTTGTTTTGATTCTCCTTCCCCATTGTCTAATACACTACACAAGTTGTTTTGATTCTCCTTCCCCATTGTCTAGTAGACCACACAAGTTGGTTTGATTCTTCTTTCCCATAGTTCAGTACACCACACAAGTTGTTTTGATTCTCCTTCCACTTTGTCTAGTACACCACACAAGTTGTTTTGATTCTCCTTCCCCTTTGCCTAGTACACCACACAAGTTGTTTTGATTCTTCTTTCCCATAGTTCAGTACACCACACAAGTTGTTTTGATTCTCCTTCCCCTTTGTCTAGTACACCACACAAGTTGTGTTGATTCTCCTTCCCCATTGTCTAGTATACCACACAAGGTGTTTTGATTCTCCTTCCCCATTGTCAAGTACACCACACATAGTACACCACACAAGTTGTTTTGATTCTCCTTCCCCTTTGCCTAGTACACCACACAAGTTGTTTTGATTCTCCTTCCACTTTGTCTAGTACACCACACAAGTTGTTTTGATTCTCCTTCCACTTTGTCTAGTACACCACACAAGTTGTTTTGATTCTCCTTCCACTTTGTCTAGTACACCACACAAGTTGTTTTGATTCTTCTTTCCCATAGTTCAGTACACCACACAAGTTGTTTTGATTCTCCTTCCCCTTTGGCTAGGACACCACACAAGTTGTTTTGATTCTCCTTCCACTTTGTCTAGTACACCACACAAGTTGTTTTGATTCTTCTTTCCCATAGTTCAGTACACCACACAAGTTGTTTTGATTCTCCTTCCCCTTTGGCTAGGACACCACACAAGTTGTTTTGATTCTCCTTCCCCATTGTCTAGAATACTAAACAAGATTTGTATATCTATTTGAGATTGTAATGGTACTAGTACACCATACAAGTTGTTTTGATTCTCCTTCCCCATTGTCTAATACACTACACAAGTTGTTTTGATTCTCCTTCCCCATTGTCTAGAATACCACACAAGGTGTTTTGATTCTCCTTCCCCATTGTCAAGTACACCACACAAGTTGTTTTGATTCTCCTTCCCCATTGTCTAGTATACTAAACAAGATTTGTATATCTATTTGAGATTGTAATGGTAATTTCTGTTCACACCAACACCATATTAGATTGAAGCAGAAACAATAAACACCTGTATTGTGTCTGTAGGTTCGCTTCTTCACACAAGATCTGTCTGGTGAAAGTAACGAAGGAAAAGCCAGTGACAGGTAAGATGATCGACTCTCGTGGAAGGAACTGTTCCACATTTTGTAGATATCACAGCATTGTTATACATATATATATCAATACCCAAGTATTATTTGTCTCGCCGGGACAAAGTGAAAGCAAGAAACGAAAGTGTTGCTTTTCCAGCGACGGTGGCGTCAACATTAAGTTTTTAGGTCACCTGAGCTTTAGCTCAAGTGACCTATTGCTATCCGTTTTCGTCCGTCGTCGTCCATCGTCCGTCGTCCGTCGTCCGTTAACATTTTACATTTCAAACTTAAAGTCAAGTTCTGCTGGGCCGATTGAACTGAAAGTTGGTAGGAATGATCGCCTCATGGTCCTGACAAAGTGTTGTTATTTTTCGGGTCGATCAGAAATCCAATATGGCCGCCACGGCCGCCATTTTGAAAACCTATTTCAAACTTAAAGTCAAGTTCTGCTGGACCGATTGAACTGAAAGTTGGTAGGAATGATCGCCTCATGGTCCTGACAAAGTGTTGTTATTTTTCGGGTCGATCAGAAATCCAATATGGCCGCCACGGCCGCCATTTTGAAAACCTATTTCAAACTTAAAGTCAAGTTCTGCTGGACCGATTGAACTGAAAGTTGGTAGGAATGATCGCCTCATGGTCCTGACAAAGTGTTGTTATTTTTCGGGTCGATCAGAAATCCAATATGGCCGCCACGGCCGCCATTTTGAAAACCTATTTCAAACTTAAAGTCAAGTTCTGCTAGGCCGATTGAACTGAAACTTTGTAGGAATGATCAGCTCATGGTCCTGACAAAGTGTTGTTATTTTTTAGGTCAATCAGAAATCCAATATGGCCGCCACGGCCGCCATTTTGAAAACCTATTTCAAACTTAAAGTCAAGTTCTGCTGGACCGATTGAACTTAAAGTTTGTAGGAATGATAGACTCATGGTCCTGACAAAGTGTTGTTATTTTTCGGGTCGTTCAGAAATCCAATATGGCCGCCACGGCCGCCATTTTGAAAAACTATTTCAAACTTAAAGTCAAGTTCTGCTAGGCCGATTGAACTGAAACTTTGTAGGAATGATCAGCTCATGGTCCTGACAAAGTGTTGTTATTTTTCGGGTCAATCAGAAATACAATTTGGCTGCCATGGCCGCTATTTTGCTACTAAATTCTAATAGGCCGATCTCACTTAAAATTGGTCTAGGAATGATCAGCTCATGGTCCTGACAAAGTTAAGTTAACATTATACTATTTTTTACTCAAATTGGTACATATTTCAACAAAAAAAATAATACTGTAGACTCAGGTGACCGTTAAGGCCCATGGGCCTCTTGTTGTGTTAAAATTAAGTTTCACTGAAATTTTAAGTGCTAGAACAACCAAATTTGGACCAAAGATGCATCTTATGTAGTACATCTCAATCCATGCATCAAATGCTGGATGCGGCCTACCTTTCACGGTCCATTGACTTTGTCATCATCTCCATCAACATTAAGGTTTTGTGTTTAAGTTTGTTTCTCTAATATGTGCATTGATGGTCAAAGCGGGGCATAGGTGAGACGTATCAATCCGAATGGCTTGTTTATTGATTAATGGTCATATACAGGGATGTTAAATTAACTTAGGTTTGCTGGCTCAGTATATATAACAGTGTAAAATACTGGTATTTGTTTAGCTGACTCAGGATATATAACAGTGTAAAATACTGGTATTTGTTTCGCTGACTCAGTATATATAACAGTGTAAAATACTGGGATTTTTAAGCTGACTCAGTATATATAACAGTGTAAAATACTGGGATTTTTAAGCTGACTCAGTATATATAACAGTGTAAAATACTGGGATTTTTAAGCTGACTCAGTATATATAACAGTGTAAAATACTGGTATTTGTTTAGCTGGCTCAGTATATATAACAGTGTAAAATACTGGTATTTGTTTAGCTGGCTCAGTATATATAACAGTGTAAAATACTGGTATCTGTTTAGCTGACTCAGTATATATAACAGTGTAAAATACTGGTATTTATAAGCTGACTCAGTATATATAACAGTGTAAAATACTGGGATTTTTAAGCTGACTCAGTATATATAACAGTGTAAAATACTGGGATTTTTAAGCTGACTCAGTATATATAACAGTGTAAAATACTGGGATTTTTAAGCTGACTCAGTATATATAACAGTGTAAAATACTGGTATCTGTTTAGCTGACTCAGTATATATAACAGTGTAAAATACTGGGATTTTTAAGCTGACTCAGTATATATAACAGTGTAAAATACTGGTATTTATAAGCTGACTCAGTATATATAACAGTGTAAAATACTGGGATTTTTAAGCTGACTCAGTATATATAACAGTGTAAAATACTGGTATCTGTTTAGCTGACTCAGTATATATAACAGTGTAAAATACTGGGATTTTTAAGCTGACTCAGTATATATAACAGTGTAAAATACTGGTATCTGTTTAGCTGACTCAGTATATATAACAGTGTAAAATACTGGGATTTTTAAGCTGACTCAGTATATATAACAGTGTAAAATACTGGTATTTGTTTAGCTGGCTCAGTATATATAACAGTGTAAAATACTGGTATTTGTTTCGCTGACTCAGTATATACAACAGTGTAAAATACTGGTATTTGTTTAGCTGACTCAGTATATATAACTGTGTAAAATACTGGTATTTTTAAGCTGACTCAGTATATATAACAGTGTAAAATACTGGGATTTTTAAGCTGACTCAGTATATATAACAGTGTAAAATACTGGGATTTTTAAGCTGACTCAGTATATATAACAGTGTAAAATACTGGTATCTGTTTAGCTGACTCAGTATATATAACAGTGTAAAATACTGGTATCTGTTTAGCTGACTCAGTATATATAACAGTGTAAAATACTGGGATTTTTAAGCTGACTCAGTATATATAACAGTGTAAAATACTGGGATTTTTAAGCTGACTCAGTATATATAACAGTGTAAAATACTGGGATTTTTAAGCTGACTCAGTATATATAACAGTGTAAAATACTGGGATTTTTAAGCTGACTCAGTATATATAACAGTGTAAAATACTGGTATTTGTTTAGCTGACTCAGGATATATAACAGTGTAAAATACTGGTATTTGTTTAGCTGGCTCAGTATATATAACAGTGTAAAATACTGGTATTTATAAGCTGACTCAGTATATATAACAGTGTAAAATACTGGTATTTATAAGCTGACTCAGTATATATAACAGTGTAAAATACTGGGATTTTTAAGCTGACTCAGTATATATAACAGTGTAAAATACTGGGATTTTTAAGCTGACTCAGTATATATAACAGTGTAAAATACTGGGATTTTTAAGCTGACTCAGTATATATAACAGTGTAAAATACTGGGATTTTTAAGCTGACTCAGTATATATAACAGTGTAAAATACTGGTATTTTTTAGCTGACTCAGTATATACAACACTATGTACTGGCAATATGTTTCTGTATATTATATTGTAGCAGTGAATTTTGACCTAATGTTTTAAAGGCTAACAGGAGCAGTAAACGGTTCCGTCCCAGCACACACCTCCAAGGTCACACTCAAGGACACTAGTCCCAGTCAACTGGACACCATCTACTCCATACTAATGCAAGTCAAGGTCCTGGAAACAATGAAGGTAAGATCATTCAATACCAATTAGACTATAAGTGATCATATCCCGGCCATCTTATAGAGAAAGCTAAAGTTGTGTTACCGGTTCCTTTTCTGATTGGATCAAATGATGTGCATTGTTTATTGGTTTCACCATTTTACAGGACACTGGGAAGAACCACATCTGTACTAGTCATCAGCGACAACTCCAGACAATAGAGCGCTTGTTCCACTCGAAAGATGAGAGGTAAGTCTTCCTTGTCCTAATTTGCATGTAAAATCCACTCCCCCCACATAACATATCTGACACAAACTATCAAAAGAAGAAGAGAGTCCGATTTGTTTAAGTGATAGGAACATTTTCAAAGAAGCCAAATTTGCATAATTTGGTGAAATAAAAACAGAACGATTCTGAAATTTTGTATATCTGCATGATTTTCTTTTCATAACATAACAATTTTGTAGTTTCCGATTAAGTCAGGATACTGGAGACATTCACATTAAGGGTAAAGTGTTGTGGTCAAGGTTCTCCTTTACCCTACTACCAGGCTATTGTTTATATTGCTTTGGAAACCTTTGTCATCAAGGTGTACCTTGAAAAATTAAATCAAATTGCATGTACAGTCTAACCTGTATTTATAGAAAACCCTCAGAAAGTCCAAAAAAGTGGTCTGTAAACACAGGTGGTCTGTTAACACAGGTGGTCTGAGGTGGTTACAGGACCAGGTTTGACTGTATAATTACAGAGTTGTTTGCCTTACAGTGCTGGGCATCAGATGGTAGAGAGTTGGCTACACAAACAACAGGTGTCTAGTCTGAGATCCAGTCTCGTCAACATACTCCACCAAACACTGGAATGTTTATCAGACTCGCGTTGGGAGCTTCGCCGCATGGCGCAGCAGGTAAGTTCTAGATCACAGTATTGTGATCTGCTGTACCCATTGAATCAACTAGGTTTATGGTACTTTCTCTATCATCTACTCTTTCATGTCAGTTGTTCAATCATTTGATAATCTAGTATTTAGTGAGAAGCATCCTCTAAGTTTAAATCATGTAGAGCTTACTTTGTTTTAGATATTTTTACTGATGCTTTCTCTCTGACCCTCATGTTGTAGGTGCTGCCCTGCCTGGCAGAGGTGATTCGATGGTTTGACATGAGTATTCTGGAGGACTTGTGGAAAACACACCTGCAGCAGAAGACCAGTCTCTTCACATATGCCGCAGCATTGCTTCTCAAGGAGTCTGTGATACACTGTGTGAGACTGGAGCCTCTGCTACACAAACCGCCGGGGTCATGGCAGGTCAGTAAGAACCAAATAAAAGGTTATACCAGAAGGTCAACTAGGGTCATGGAAATCAGTAAGGGTCAAAATAAAAGGTTATACTAGAAGGTCAACTAGGGTCATGGAAATCAGTAAGGGTCAATATAAAAGGTTATACCAGTAGGTCAACCAGGGTCATGGCAGGTCAGTAGGGATCAAATGAAAGGATATACCAGTAGGTCAATCAGGTCACGGCAGGTCAGTAGGGGTCAAAATAAAAGGTTATACCAGTAGGTCAACCAGGGTCACGGCAGATCAGTAGGGATCAAATAAAAGGATACCAGTAGGTTAACCAGGGTCACGGCAGGTCAGTAGGGATCAAATAAAAGGATATACCAGTAGGTCAACCAGGGTCATGGCAGGTCAGTAGGGATCAAATAAAAGGATATACCAGTAGGTTAACCAGGGTCACGGCAGGTCAGTAGGGATCAAATAAAAGGATATACCAGTAGGTCAACCAGGGTCATGGCAGGTCAGTAAATGTCAAAATAATAGGTTATTTTTATAGGTCAACGGTTAACGTTAGAAGTTATGACCAAACTATTAGCTTAGAATGGAAAAGGTCAATTGCAAATCAGGATAAAAACACAGCTTACAAATTCTGATAACCAGTGTGTTCAAATATATTGTTGATAGGATGAAAGGAAAGAATTGTCTCCTATGTTGAGGGTTAGCCAAAGAAATCTCAACTCTCCGGGTGAGATTCTTGAATGACAAACACTGGGCTTGAAGCAAAGCCTTGGGTTAGACAATCCAGAACTCTTTGGGTTGAGTTTTCTCTGTCATACCCAAACATGGGAGATTCTACTCCTAAAATGTATCTGAAAACAAAAGTTGCTAGGAAACCCCCACATCCCATTGTGTTCACCAATGGAATGAACAGAAATGTAAAAGTCAGGGTCAAAAAACGTTATGTGCAGATGATAAAACTATATTTTATTATTTAATACAAAAACTAAACTAAAATTTACATATAGGTGAGTTTATTTTACCATGCTAAGAATGCAGTTTTGATTTTAAAAAAAACTTGTCAGGGTACCTTCAGAGCATGGAAATTTATCTGTGGCCAACAATAAAAGAAAAAGTAACCCACCCAATCCCAACCTTCAATACATTCAGGATCTTTCCCTGTACAGTATAAATTAACAAGTGCTGATGTTTATTAATGACCAACCTGAGTGACTGAGTCTTTCCTTCCAGGACCATGATGGCTGTAAGAAGATTATCACCAGCATTGTAAAGAGCCTGACTACTCAGCTAAACGGTTATCTCTCTTGTCTAGACAATATCATACAACGACCTGTGTTTGACCGTCTGTCTGTGATAGCGGCTAGCACTGTTATCACCGCACACAACCACTTCTCTATACACGAGGACCAGGTAAGTGTCTCTTGTACATCAGTGTATGATCACTGGAGTGAAGCTTTTTATCACAAAATCCCGTTCTGATGAGATATATTGGTATATTCACGCAAAACATTTAGTTTCGATATCAATATGAATTAATGTTTTTCAAAATGATGAATATGATGGACCATTATTTTAAAACATTAAGTGTATAATAATGTATAGCATTGTGCCAGGATTTATTTTTTAATAGATTTATCTGAAGATAAACCTAGCTGTTTTCAGCTAATATACCGTGTATAGCAATATGAAAGAATATTGCTTTTATGCATTTCAGAATTTGACAATGTATTGATAAGTAAAACCTGCTTATCTCTGCATTGTTGGAAACAGAAAAAATGTTACACTTGTGTTTGACTTTTGTACAAAGAAAAAAACAGATTTACATTCACATTTTACATGGACAGTGTTTAACCAAATATTATTTTGATGCAGTAAAACATATAAAAGTTGACTGAAGAGGTGTACAATTTCATACTAAGGGTATTGATTTATATATTGAAGATTTGCACTAGCCCTGAAATAAATCTATCAGCCGTTGTGCCAGACTCTTAGAATTCTTTACTGGACTGACTCAAATTCATTGACTGACAGGCAGAAGCTTTTATAAAAAAAACTTTGGTAAATGGAAAAGTGTGAAGAAGGGTTCGATGAATGTATCATATTGTACATTCTGTAGGATACATCCATCTTATGCAATACTGGGTATGTAGGACACTGTTCACACAACCTGATGAATGATAGGACACTGTTCACACAACCAAATGAACGATAGGACACTGTTCACACAACCAAATGAAAGATAGGACACTGTTCACACAACCAAATGAAAGATAGGACACTGTTAACACAACCAAATGAACGATAGGACACTGTTCACACAACCAGATGAAAGATAGGACACTGTTCACACAACCAAATGAACGATAGGACACTGTTCACTTAACCAAATGAAAGATAGGACACTGTTCACACAACCAAATGAAAGATATGACACTGTTCACACAACCAGATGAAAGATAGGACACTGTTCACACAACCAGATGAACGAGTTAGGAGGTGAAGTTATCTTATGCAGGCTCAAGTTAAATTTGTTCTATTGTTTATGTTTACTATTATATTTACCAAGTTGAAACCATTTTTTCAGAGAGTGAAACAGACTGCTACAGTGCTGTCATTCTGGAAGCTCCTGTTTTGTTTTACTCATCCAAACTTACGAATCTCAAAGGACTTGATACATGGCAACACAGACATCAAGTTCTTCTCCTCACCGTTCGAGGGCTATCTGAGGTAAGATCAGGTCAAATAAACCAATGATATTTACTACTTTCTATTTCCAGAGTATTATGTCTGCTTGAACTATCTCTTATATAAGATTTCCATCGTGTTACTGGTAAGTAGGAGTGTGAGATAGAGCTATCCACTTCATATTGGTGTTGAAAGTGGAATAAATAAAAAAAATACTCATTCACCCCTGAAGACACATTCCTCTCCAATTCAAAGGTTGGAATAGTTCATTCTGAAATTTAAGGGGTGAATCAATTAAAGAATATTGAACATAATTGTAAATTTTTACTGCACTTCCCAATGATGGAAATATATGTTAAACAATACCATCATCATAAAGTGTATCTGGTGTTTAAAGGATTGAACAAACTAACATAACAACAGTTGACTTAATATATAGTGAGTTTATATCTATATCTCCGGCTTATTGTTGATCTGTAAGATTAACGGACACATCAATCAGTTATCATTTTAATTGATACTAACACTATTTCTATCATAATCAAAGGATCTGAAGCTGCTGAATCACATGAGAAAGTGATAGTGTGTCTTTACATTATTGAGAACTGTTACTTGATACTGAGAATGATTAGTGTGTCTTTACATTATTGAGAACTTTTACTTGGTACTGAGAATGATTGATGTGTCTTTAGATTATTGAGAACTTTTACTTGGTACTGAGAATGATTGATGTGTCTTAACATTATTGAGAACTGTTACTTTATACTGAGAAGGATTAGTGGGTGTTTACATTATTGAGAACTTTTGCTTGATAATTAGAATGATTGGTGTGGCTTAACTTTATTGAGAACTTTTACTTGGTACTGAGAATGATTGATGTGTCTTTAGATTATTGAGAACTTTTACCTGATACTGAGAATGATTAATGTGTCTTTACATTATTGAGATCTGTTACTTGATACTGAGAAAGATTAGTGTGTCTTTACAGTATTGAGAACTTTTACTTGGTACTGAGAATGATTGATGTGTCTTTACTTTATTGTGAACTTTTACTTGAGACTGAGAATGATTGGTGTGTCTTAACTTTATTGAGAACTTTTACTTGGTACTGAGAATGATTGATGTGTCTTTACTTTATTGTGAACTTTTACTTGAGACTGAGAATGATTGGTGTGTCTTGACTTTATTGAGAACTTTTACTTGGTACTGAGAATGATTGATGTGTCTTAACATTATTGAGAACTGTTACTTTATACTGAGAAGGATTAGTGTGTCGTTACATTATTGAGAACTTTTGCTTGATAATTAGAATGATTGGTGTGTCTTGACTTTATTGAGAACTTTTACTTGATCCTGAGAAGGATTAGTGTGTCTTTACAGTATTGAGAACTTTTACTTGGTACTGAGAATGATTGATGTGTCTTTACATTATTGACAACTTTTACTTGATACTGAGGATGATTGATGTGTCTTAACATTATTGAGAACTGTTACTTTATACTGAGAAGGATTAGTGTGTCGTTACATTATTGAGAACTTTTACTTGATCCTGAGAATGACTGGTGTGTCTTTACATTATAGAGAACTGTTACTTGATAGTGAGAATGATTGATGTGTCTTAACATTATTGAGAACTGTTACTTTATACTGAGAAGGATTAGTGGGTGTTTACATTATTGAGAACTTTTGCTTGATAATTAGAATGATTGGAGTGTCTTAACTTTATTGAGAACTTTTACTTGGTACTGAGAATGATTGATGTGTCTTAACATTATTGAGAACTGTTACCTGATACTGAGAATGATTAGTGTGTCTTTCCATTATTTAGAACTATTACTTGATACTGAGAATGTTTGATGTGTCTTAACATTATTGAGAACTGTTACTTGAAACTAAGAAGGATTAGACTGGGTTTACCTTATTGAGAACTTTTACCTGATACTGAGAATGATTGATGTGTCTTTACATCATTGACAACTTTTACTTGATACTGAGGATGATTGATGTGTCTTAACATTATTGAGAACTGTTACTTTATACTGAGAAGGATTAGTGAGTCTTTACATTATTGAGAACTTTTGCTTGATAATTAGAATGATTAGTGTGTCTTTACATTATTGAGAACTGTTACTTGATACTGAGAAGGATTAGTGTGTCTTTACATTATTGAGAACTTTTACTTGATAATTAGAATGATTGGTGTGTCTTAACTTTATTGAGAACTTTTACTTGATACTGAGAATGATTGATGTGTCTTTACATTATTGACAACTTTTACTTGATACTGAGACTGATTGTAATTGTTTCAGTTTTTGATTGTAATTGTTCCAGTTGTTGCCTAGTGAGACCTGACAATAAACAACAATGTGCCAAACAGGTTGAGAAACTATTTATCACCGAGACTTTTCACGCCTGCAAGCATTTCCTACAGAGCCTGCCTGTGGAGAGCTCCTCCCTCCTCCTGCCTATGGTGGCTCACTACACCGGTATATTTGTGGAGGACTCACACATTTGTAAAACATTAACAGAATGGTGAGTAGAGAAAATGCTGGGTTTGGGGGCTAGATGTTTGGTTTGAGTTATGAGGGTTTTTTGAGGGGTGGAGAGTTTAGTTTTGAGGTTGGTTTAGGTGTAGGGGTTTTGTTTTAGTTGATATTTTGTTGTGAAAAGTTGGGAGGGTTGTTAAATTTTGAGTAAGATTTACAGAATTAGGGTTTGGTTTGATTTGAGAAGTATTGTTAGGGATGGGATGTTAAGTTTTGAGTGGGGTCTAGGTGTAGGGTTTTTGTTTGAGCTGAGATTATGTTGTGAGAACTGGGGTGGGTTGTTTGATATCAAGTGAGATTTTGGTATTGGGGTTTGGTTTGATTTGAAAAGTATTGTTAGGGATGGGATGGGATGTTAGGTTTTGAGTGGGGTTTAGGTGTAGGGGTTGGGTTGGGTTAAGGTGTAGGGGTTAGGTTGGATTTAGGTGTAGGGGTTGGGTTGGGTCTAGGTGTAGGTGTTGGGTTGGGTCTAGGTGTAGGGGTTGGGTGGGGTCTAGGTGTAGGGGTTGGGTTGGGTCTAGGTGTAGGGGTTGGGTGGGGTCTAGGTGAAGGGGTTGGGTTGGGTTGGGTCTAGGTGTAGGGGTTTGGTTGGGTCTAGGTGTAGGGGTTGGGTTGGGTCTAGTTGAGGGGTTTGGTGGGGTCTAGGTGTAGGGGTTGGGTTGGGTCTAGGTGTAGGGGTTTGGTTGGGTCTAGGTGTAGGGGTTGGGTTGGGTCTAGATGTAGGGGTTGAGTGGGGTCTAGGTGTAGGGGTTGGGTTGGGTCTAGATGTAGGGGTTGAGTGGGGTCTAGGTGTAGGGGTTGGGTTGGGTCTAGGTGTAGGGGTTGGGTGGGGTCTAGTTGTAGGGGTAGGGTTGGGTTTAGGTGTAGGGGTTGGGTTGGGTCTAGGTGTAGGGGTTGGGTTGGGTTCGAGCTGAAATTTGTTGTTAGGACTAGGATGGGTTGTGTAATTTGTAGTGGGATTTCTGTTTAATAAAAAAAAATGAGAATTATTGTGAGAGATGGGATGGGTTTTTTAGATTTGAGTGGGTTAGGTGTAGGAGTTTGGTTTGAGTTGAGCTGTTGTAAGGGCAGAGGTGGGCTGTCAAGTTTGGAGTGGGACTTTGGTTTTTTGGACTTTTGATTTAAGAATTGTTCTGAAAGACGGGATTGGGTGTTCAGTTTTGAGTTGGGTTAAGGTGTAGGGTTGGGTTTGTACCGAGAGTAAATTCATTATGAATTGTTCTATATCAATATATAAATATATGAGATATGCTGCTATATTGTTATGAGAGAATGTCATGTACTTGTTTATAGAATAACATATTTAATGTGATGAGTAATTGGATAAAACAGGAATAATGTTCAGGGCCTAGTTCCACAAACGCTCAATAAACTTCAGAACAGCATTGCTAAAGCAAGAAACCAAGAAAACTTCAGATAAGAATATCTATGTAGGTGTCTCTTAGGATCGTCAATAGGGGATGTATTAGAAATAAAATTACATGGATTATCATGATTATGGTTTCAGTTTGAGTGTTGTTGGCTCCAAGGTAGTAGGGATTACCATGAAAATGGAGGACGATGAGCAACAACAAAGCTGCCTAAAATGTATTAACTTGTCCTTAAAGGAACTGTCAGCCATCATAACAATGAAGGTAGGTAATTAAATATCATCTTGTCACAATGAAGGTAGGTAATTAAATACCATCTTGTCCTAGAGGAACTGTCAGCCATCATTACAATGAAGGTAGGTAATTAAATACCATCTTGTCACAATGAAGGTAGGTAATTAAATATCATCTCGTCCTGGAGAAACTGTCAGCCATCATTACAATGAAGGTAGGTAATTAAATAGTTTCTGTCATTTCCTTGTGTGAAAGATAGACCTGTCCAGGGCAAGAAAGGGGTGTAAGAAATATCCATCTTACACCGTAATGTCACAATTGCTCAACAATGACATGATATCACTAATTTGGAAAAGTCTGATGAGGCAATGTGGAAAAGGCAACGTGATGAAATTAAAACCTTTAACAAAATATTGACCATACAAGTTAGAAAGATGAGATAATGTTACTATATGTGACTTTGTAACTATGAGTGTTATAGTTTGTGACTTTGTTAGATGTTTATTACAATATGTGACTTTGTAACTTTGTGTGTTACAAAGTGTGACTTTGTTAGATGTATGTTACATTATGTACATGACTGTTACAGAGTTCCGAAGTACACCTGGTACAGAAAGTATTAAACATCTACATCACCCTGTGTCAGGCCCTTAACCCAGTCAAGCACGTCCGTCTCATCCTCGTTGCTATTTGTTCCAGAGTTAATGAGGTCAGTATCAGTCTCTTTCAAGTTTTATAATTTTAGATAAAAACTATGCAACAAAAATAATAATATGATAAATATCTGTATTTTTAGGTTGCCTGGTACTTCTTTATCCAATAAAACATAACAGGCATAACCATGTAGAATTGATCAGTGTAAAACTTTTATGAATTGATCAGTTTTCAATAAATGTAACTTTAACTTTTCAGTTTTCAGATATGATAACTATCCCCTGATGTTTTGTATTCAAGTATTTTTTTCCAACCCATTTTTATGGAGTTATGGCCCTTTGTTAAAAAATCCTAGTCCAGGGCCCACTTGTATAAAACATCTCAACTCTTGAGATTTCTTTAAGTCCAAGATTTCCCATAGACAATACATTGCTTGACATTTTCCTTAACTTTGAGATGTTTTATATAAGTGGCTACTGACAACTATCTACTGTGCCAATCTCAAAGAAAGTTTACAGATATGGTAACTGCCCCCTGACATCGTGCATCCAAGTAGTACTTTTTCATTTCGACCCTTTTAAAAGGAGTTATGGCCCTTTGTTGAAAAAATCTTTGTCTGCCTCTTAAACTACCTGGCCGATTTCAATGAAAGTTCACAGATATGGTAATTATGTCTCCCCTTCGAATGAAGGGAGACATATTGTATTAGAACTGGTTCTTCTCCTTCTTCTTCTGGTTCTTCTAATCAAACTTTTCTGGGCCATAACTTTTGAACCATTAAAGATATCTTGATGAAACTTTAGGTATGCATGCATCACCCACAGGAGGTGTGCAGTGCACTGAAATCAGGTCACTGTGACCTACACCTCAATGTCAAAGGTCAAATAAGTGCACATTTTCAGTAAATTCTTGTCCAGCCCGTAAATTTCAAACCGTTAATATACAGAGCTATGGCCCTTTGTTTATTTTTGATACCGAAGTTTGTCCACAGCATAACTTCCATGTTATATCACCTACGTTGACCAAACTTGCTGAAGTTTTAATGTATCTTGGAAAGTAGGAGTGACGCAATCTAAATTCGGGTTTCGATCCCACTATATAAAGCGATATGGCGATATATAATTTTTTATACCCGAGTTTTTCTATTGGCTAATAAGGGGAGACATATGTTTTTGTTCACAAAAGCAAAATTCTAGTTTCCCCCTGATGTCGTGAATCAGGGTAATAGTTTTTTAGGTCACCCGAGCTTTAGCTCAAGTGACCTATTGCTATCCGTCCGTCGTCCGTCGTCCGTCGTCCGTTAATATTTTACATTTCAAACTTAAAGTCAAGTTCTGCTGGGCCGATTGAACTGAAAGTTTGTAGGAATGATCACCTCATGGTCCTGACAAAGTGTTGTTATTTTTCGGGTCGATCAGAAATCCAATATGGCCGCCACGGCCACCATTTTGAAAACCTATTTCAAACTTAAAGTCAAGTTCTGCTGGACCGATTGAACTGAAAGTTGGTAGGAATGATCGCCTCATGGTCCTGACAAAGTGTTGTTATTTTTTGGGTCGATCAGAAATCCAATATGGCCACCACGGCCGCCATTTTGAAAACCTATTTCAAACTTAAAGTCAAGTTCTGCTGGACCGATTGAACTTAAAGTTTGTAGGAATGATCGACTCATGGTCCTGACAAAGTGTTGTTATTTTTCAGGTCAATCATAAATCCAATATGGCCGCCACGGCCACCATTTTGAAAAACTATTTCAAACTTAAAGTCAAGTTCTGCTAGGCCGATTGAACTGAAACTTTGTAGGAATGATTGACTCATGGTCCTGACAAAGTGTTGTTATTTTTCGGGTCGATCAGAAATCCAATATGGCCACCACGGCTGCCATTTTGGAAAACTATTTCAAACTTAAAGTAAAGATCTACTTGGCCGATTGAACTGAAACTTTGTAGGAATGATCGAATCATGGTCCTGACAAAGTGTTGTTATTTTTCGGGTCAATCAGAAATACAATTTGGCTGCCATGGCCGCTATTTTGCTACTAAGTTCTAATAGGCCGATCTCACTTAAAATTGGTCTAGGAATGATCAGCTCATGGTCCTGACAAAGTTAAGTTAACATTATACTATTTTTTACTCAAATTGGTACATATTTCAACAACAAAAATAAATACTGTAGACTCAGGTGACCGTTTAGGCCCATGGGCCTCTTGTTTCATTTCAACCCTTTTTTAAGGATTTATGGCCCTTCGACAAGTTTGTTAAAAATCTTTGTCCTGACAACTCTTCCTCAACTACTAGGACTATTTTGGCAAATCTTCTTCATCTGGACGAACAAGATTCGGTTTGCAAGTATGTTTTGGTATTGGGAGGGAGTTCAGAAAGTATGTCAGTAGTCTGTACACTTAAATAAGTGTGCAACTCGGTCAATAAAGAAATGATTTCTGGTGGGAGACTATGGATTAGTTAGCCTTTAGCTTACAGTTCTAATTTATATAGGAGTGGGGGGTAATAGTTAGCCTTTACCTTACAGTTCTAGTTTATATGGAGAGGGGGGTAATAGTTAGCCATTGTCTTACAGTTCTAATTTATATAGGATCGGGGGGTAATAGTTAGCCTTTGACTTACAGTTCTAGTTTATATAGGAGCGGGGGGTATTAGTTAGCCTTTACCTTACAGTTCTAATTTATATGAAGAGGGGGGTAATAGTTAGCCATTGACTTACAGTTCTAATTTATATAGGATCGGGGGGTAATAGTTAGCCTTTGACTTACAGTTCTAGTTTATATAGGAGCGGGGGGTATTAGTTAGCTTTACTTTACAGTTCAAATTTATATAGGATTGGGGGATTATAGTTAGCCTTTGACTTACAGTTCTAGTTTATATCTACTTCCTTACAAAGATTTGATTGTGCGACCCTGTTTTGTAGGATATCTACTTCAGTGCTGAACATTCGCCCCGCCCTGGGGACGACCTGTCCTTACTATCCAACAACATTCCACTGTCCAGCAGTCCAGTCGCTGCCCACCACTGGGACCAGGAGGACACAGTCATCTCTGGTCAGTACTAGCCACGTGATACACAGTCATCTCTGGTCAGTACTCACCATGTATCACAAGCCTGATTCTGTTTGTGTGTAAATGTTTTTTGATGAAATTGATCATAATTACATTACATACTGATGAATTCATATCTGTCATAGAAAACTACATAAATAAGTACAGTATCTCGCCAATTAGCTATTTGTAAGTAGTAAACCTGTTAAAATATAAATATTTTACCATTTTAACATCTGTTTTAGCTCACCTGGTCTGAAGGGCCAAGTGAGCTTATGCCATGGTGCGGCGTCCGTCGTCCATCCATTGTCCGTCCGGCATCAATATTTTACTTTAAACAATTTCTTCTCAATAACCAAAAGGCCTATGATGATAATATTTGGCCAGAAGCAAACTGGGATGAAGGGCTACCAAGATTGTTAAAAGAAATGACCTTTACCTATTTTCAAGGTCACAGGGGTCAAATATGTTAAAAACTTTAAACAACTTTTTCTGAATAACCAAAAGTCGCAGGATGATGATATTTGGCCAGTAGCATGCTGGGATGAAGGGCTACCAAGTTTGTTCAAATGAATGACCTTCATCTATTTTCATGGTCACAGGGGTCAATTGTCTTAAAAAATCTTACTTCTTCTCAATAACTAAGAGGCCTAGGATAATGATATTTGGCCAGTAACATGCTAGGATGAAGGGCTACCAAGTTTGTTCAAATGAATAACTTTTATATATATTCAAGGTCACAGGGGTCAAATATGTTAAACACCTTTAAACAACTTCTTCTCAATAACCGAAAACTCTAGGATGATGCTATTTGGCTAGTAGCATGCTGTGATAAAGAGCTACCAAGTTTGTTCAAATGAATGACCTTGATTAACTTTGAAGGTCACAGGGGTCAAATGTCTTAAAATCTTCAAACAACTTTTTCTCAATAACCAATATGCCTAGGGTACTGATATTGGGCCTGTAGCATGCTGTGATGAAGGGCTTCCAAGTTTGTTGAAATTAATGACCTTTTTCCATTTTCAAGATCACAGGGGTCAATTGTCTTAAAAAGTCTTTAAACAACTTCTTCTGAATAACTAAGAGACCTAGGATAATTATATTTGGCCAGTAGCATGCTGTGATGAAGGGCTACCAAATTTGTTCAAATGAATGACCTTGACCAACTTTGAAGGTCACAGGGGTCAAATGTCTTAAAATCTTCAAACCACTTCTTCTCAATAACCAAAAGGCCAAGGGTACTGATATTGGGCCTGTAGCATGCTGGGATGAAGGGCTACCAAGATTGTTCAAATGAATGACCTTGACCCACTTTCAACCTAATGTCCTTGTTCGACATTCAAAGACACAGGCTTCATGTTTAAATCTTTTAATAGGTTCTTGTGAATCAAACACTGATATTCTGCCTGTAGCTGTATTTTAGTCCACTTTTAAGATTACAAGTGTGAGATTAATACCAGGTGAGCAATGCAGGCCCATTTGGCCTCTTGTTATTGTAAATTTCCAACTTTAGTGTGTTTAGTAGAAAACAATTTTGTACCATGCAGTCTCCAATGTCCGTATCTGTTTTTAGTTTATTTGGTTTTGTTCCATATTTGGAGTTTAATCCCCGGTTATTCAAACTTCACAGGAAGTCCTGGAGTGTTTCCAGAATGTCTAACACTTGACCTTAGCAACAACAGTGGTAGCCTCCCATCGGGCCGACTCAGCTCGCTAAGTCAGTACAGCGACAAGGGCCGGACACGTTCTCCGACCCACAGTGTGGAGGCTGAGGAGGGGGAGCAGGAACAGCAGGGCTCGGACTGGGATAGCTGGGATGAGGAGGAAAATGAGGTGAGCATATGGGAGGATTAGGAGTGGGGACTTATGGTGAAAGGGTTGAGACTATCGGGACTATCAGTAAAATTATTTGGAGTGATTTTGAAGGGAAGGGACTCTTAGTGAGGTAGAGGGGACTTATGATGAAAGGGTGTGTTAATCAAATAAAAGGTAAATGAAAACTCTTGTTGAGGTGGGGACTTGCAATTGGTGGATGCTCAATGAGGGGTAGAGACTTGCTGTTAGGGGCTCTAGATGAGGGGTAGAGACTTGGTGTGAGGGGTAAGGGGGCTCTAGGTGAGGGGTAGGAACTTGCTGTGAAGGGTTATATTATTAGGGGTTCTAGATGAGGGGTAGAGACTTGGTGTGAGGGGTAAGGGGGCTCTAGATGAGGGGTAGAGACTTGCTGTTAGGGGCTCTAGATGAAGGGTAGAGACTTGCTGTTAGGGGCTCTAGATGAGGGGAAGAGACTTGCTGTTAAGGGCTCTAGATGAGGGGTAGAGACTTGCTGTTAGGGGCTCTAGATGAGGGGTAGAGACTTGCTGTTAGGGGCTCTAGATGAGGGGTAGAGACATGCTGTTAGGGGCTCTAGATGAGGGGAAGAGACTTGCTGTTAGGGGCTCTAGATGAGGGGTAGAGACTTGCGGTTAGGGGCTCTAGATGAGGTGTAGAGACTTGGTGTGAGGGGTAAGGGGGCTCTAGGTGAGGGGTAGGAACTTGCTGTGAAGGGTTATATTATTAGGGGTTCTAGATGAGGGGTAGAGACTTGGTGTGAGGGGTAAGGGGGCTCTAGATGAGGGGTAGGGACTTGCTGTGAAGGGTTATATTATTAGGGGCTCTAGATGAGGGGTAGGGACTTTGTGTGAGGGGTAAGGGGGCTCTAGATGAGGGGTAGAGACTTGCGGTTAGGGGCTCTAGATGAGGTGTAGAGACTTGGTGTGAGGGGTAAGGGGGCTCTAGGTGAGGGGTAGGAACTTGCTGTGAAGGGTTATATTATTAGGGGTTCTAGATGAGGGGTAGAGACTTGGTGTGAGGGGTAAGGGGGCTCTAGATGAGGGGTAGGGACTTGCTGTGAAGGGTTATATTATTAGGGGCTCTAGATGAGGGGTAGGGACTTTGTGTGAGGGGTAAGGGGGCTCTAGATGAGGGGTAGAGACTTGCGGTTAGGGGCTCTAGATGAGGGGTAGAGACTTGGTGTGAGGGGTAAGGGGGCTCTAGATGAGGGGTAGAGACTTGGTGTGAGGGGTAAGGGGGCTCTAGATGAGGGGTAGAGACTTGCGGTTAGGGGCTCTAGATAAGGGGTAGAGACTTGGTGTGAGGGTTAAAGGGGCTATAGATGAGGGGTAGGGACTTGCTGTGAAGGGTTATATTATTAGGGGTTCTAGATGAGGGGTAGAGACATGGTGTGAGGGGTAAGGGGGCTCTAGATGAGGGGTAGGGACTTGGGATGAGGGGTAAGGGGACTCTAGATGAGGGGTAGAGACTTGCGGTTAGGGGCTCTAGATGAGGGGTAGAGACTTGATGTGAGGGGTAAGGGGGCTCTAGATGAGGGGTAGGAACTTGCTGTGAAGGGTTATATTATTAGGGGTTCTAGATGAGGGGTAGAGACTTGGTGTGAGGGGTAAGGGGGCTCTAGATGAGGGGTAGGGACTTGCTGTTAGGGGCTCTAGATGAGGGGTAGAGACTTG